GTAATATTGAGTTTAAATTGTTGTGAATTTTCATTTGTCTTAGATACAAAACCAAGACATCATAGACCTAAAGGGGTTAAAGATCAACAAGGTATGATAGCAACAATCGATATCAGTAGAGTCAATAAATCAAAGTAAATTTATTAATTATATAATTTCAAATTACAAAGCAATACACTACTACATATTATAAATAGTATGACATAATTTATGTTACTCCTATGCTGGTAACAAAAATATGGGTAATGTATAAAAAATAAACGTTTGTAATATCGAAAACTATATAATTGTTTTTCTACGATGAGATGGTTGGTTAATTTGTAGAATTAGACAGTATTAAGGGAAACCAATGAAAGACATTGTATTACATATCAAAGATATCTTTCCTCGGAAATGTCCCTGGAATATATTCTAAGATATGTAACAAGCAAATCTTTCTAACATTTTATATATTTAAATATTAAATCTGCTATTGTTTATTTCTAACAATATAATTTTGTCATATGCTGAATACATATTTATATTTTTAACCGAAATTTTGCATGACTAGTTTTAACAGCAATCCCATATATTATAAAATACTCTTCCTAAGAAATCGATAAAATTGAAAAATCTATTAGCTATTTTAATTAAATGTAAGCAGAGACATATTAGGGAGAAATAAAAAAGTCTAACAAACAGATCTCATTGCTAGCGGGTCTCAGTAACGATAATAACAAACAACAAGCAACAGCTTCCTATATTTTTTTGTTGTTTCCTTGCGCCGCCTTTATCGGTGAATTCGATGTTTGTATTTGCACAACAATCTCCCTCAGCGGCGCTCTTTGTTGTGGTAATTTCATTAGACGGTCGCTGGCCGCTGAATATTAATTGACGGTAACACGGCGACACGGCGAATGTCAACCTAGCTTCGTACTCTCTCGCACGGATTGTTATGCAATTGGAGTCTTTTAAAGTTAGTCATGCGAATTGATCGATTTATAGTTTTTTTTTTAACGATAATAATTCCCAAATACTCTCCGGTTTGTTTTTTTATTAATGTTTAAGCAGAAACTCTTTTAAACGCTGCGGACGCTTTGTTGTGGTTATTTCATTAGACGTTAACTGGTCTCTGAATATTAATTAGGGAGGCGGAAGCTTTTGCTTCTAAATATTAACAATATTTTTTTTCACTTGTTAAACAAAACATTGTAATTAAAATTTCTTGTAGTACTGAAAATGAATACCATACTGACAATATATTTATCACGATTACTTTATTTGTATAGGAACCAAATAATAATATATATTAAGCTTTACCTTTCTTATTAAGATATAAATATGAGTTTAATGTCTGTGTTTTTAACATACATTGATGTGAAAACGAAATAGTATTTCTATATTTTATATACACTTATAGTTGGTATAACAAAATATTATTAGAAGCGAGTGTTTGATGTATGGCCCCGTTCCGTAATTACGGGCAACTCAGCAGCAGGTGGCATTTTCAAATAACGAGATAATGCACTTCCCGGAGATCTTAGCGTACATGTAGTGTTTTATTATCAAATTATACTGTACACATAGGAAATAAATCATAATTATTTACTGCTATTATAAAGATTTTCTCAAAATAAATGTGTTTCTATTCAATCTCGTCTAAAAATTACAATAATCCAATTGTTTTCGTTATAACGAAATATATAAAAATATTTTAATTAATAAAACCTGAAAAATTAACCAATTAATTAATAATAACCCAGTTGAGAACGATTATTATTGAGAGAAAAAGAGATGTTTATCATTGCCTTTAATATCTTTTATATAATTATAAGTTAACAAGGTCATGATATTTATTATTTATTCTAATTAACTCTGTATTCGTCGTTATGGACAACACGATAACTTTCCCATTGACTCGCGTGGGTAGATTGAAACACACACCCACTGACATTTAATAGTAATTTACGTTCCGAAAGTAATTTATATACAGTTAAATATATCTGATATGTGAAAAACAAAAACAATAATAAAATCGTAATTAAAATCATAAGAAAGAAAATATTTTTGTAACAAAAGGACTTGTGATTTATCAACGACAAAGTAATAATCAAAACGAGAGCTCTCTAAAGTTATATGCAAAGCAACAGCGCCCCGACTTTGTTTACCAAAATCACAATACAAATGACACAATAACATTCCCTGTTTTGTTACCCTTCTAAAATCAACACGACATTTTGAGGTACGTGACCATCTCATGCAGTGTGTTCCATAATAGTATTATGGGGAAACAGCCAAATGGGGTAACGGAAAAATACAAAATACTAACATCTTTTACAACATTTTACACACTTTGTATATCATACGATTATTAAACGAATGCATACAATGTGTCTACTAAACATAAAATATTTATGTGAAATATAACATAGTTTAATATATACAATGATAAATCATATCTTTGTTTTAATTAAATTTATGAAATTCTCACATTTTTAATACTGCATATTTGGCGCAACATATGCAATGCATGTTGACATAAAATAAATGGGCCAAAGTAATTTCGACGGCGAGTGTACTTCGAAGTGCTCTAGAGTATTATTGTTTATGATAAGCAGAAAATCATGTAACCGTTATTCTCGTATGTTTTTATTTTAAAATAATAGATAATTTTATTTTCATTTAGATATTAACTGTGACAAACATTATAATATCATTAATAGTGCCAGCCTTTAGTCAATTGAGTTCTGATAAGAAAACAAACTGTATTAGAATTTAAGATTTAGCTATTAAGAACAATTTGTGTTGTGAAAAAGGTATATTTAGATAGACATTATCATTATTTACAATATTCATAGGTAAGTGCATTTTTGTAAATAATTTTTAAAATTTAATTATGAAATTTCCCTGTAGACTTCAGTTATTCGAATTTTTACCACCCATCGGGTGGTAATGGCGTGCTTCCGTATAAAGACAGTGAAGTTTTTCCTGTAAAAGCATTGTTAAGTTTCAACGCTACAATTTAAATATATGCATAGCGTTCTCACATACCTTAAAGATAACTTTGTTCTCCATTTGCGCATACGATAACATAAAAACTTTAGCATTCGAGTGACAATATACAAAATAAAACACGTTTACCCTGGCATCGTAAAAGATATTTTGGCTTGTGACAGTTTAACGTAATATAAACATTTATTTGGATGTTGGAATTATAATAAAGTAATGTGTATAAAAGATTTTAATTGTAACAATGATAAAAAATAATTGAACAAATTACATTTCAAAGAACCTTTTTAACATCAAAAACAGAAAGCCGAGTACGCGAATAGAAAATCGCTTACTCGTTCCTGCTTATAAAATTTCAGTTAGAAAAATCGATAATGTTACGAAATATTAGTAGAAATAAAAGTAGAAATACATTTTAGTAAAAGCGTTGCTATTTTATTGATAGCACTCCCCTTTACAAGTTTTCAACGAAATTGCACTTGTGTTATAATAATTTACGTTAAACTTTTACAAGTCTATTGAAAATGCCATATATTATATGTACATTATTAAAAGCAAAAATGTCCAGCAATACAATTATATTTCTTTTTAAAGAAGAGTTTTATATATTCCAAGAATTATCAACTATAGTTACATTTTTATACCAATATATAATGTGCTTTTTATTTATTAAATTTAAATAATATTACCACAGTAAAGTGTCTTATTTTCTCAAACATCCTATAAACTAGACATTGTACGGTCATAATTTTGTTTATTTTTATCGGCGCTACTATGTGACCAAAATCAAATCGTTTGTGGAAATCAATAAACATAGATATATCTTCAGTTCTTTGAGACTGAATATTGTAATTAATGAAATTTATTGGCTTAATAACTACAATACTTATTCTTTCTATAAAATATTTATTACTCAAGAAGGATTGTTTATATATTTTTATTTATCATTGAGGCACTGTAAATTTTTTGTTGACAAATGCAATCAATGTTTTCATATATAAATGAGTTATTACATGTCAATGACTAAATTAAACATAATACCTTTAGAACTTCTAAGGTTTGATGTTGTTCAAAGTATAAAGAAAAAATATTTTGATTTCTGACCTTTCATTGAATTCATTCTATTCATTTATAATAGGTATTATATTTATAATAGTTTCAGTTCCCATTAAAGTTACTGAACAACCAACATAAATATCCTTAAATGCAACTTCTTATTTTAAGACAATTTATGTTTAGTAAAAATTTGTATAAAACTTGATTAGTTATTTAACAAGAGCTCCCTGTAAATATTTACAAAAGCTCTCTCACGTCATAAATATTAAGCCACCAGTGTTCCTTGTTATCCTCATTATGCTGTTCCATAGTGTTGGCACCAAAACATGATTCCACAAAATGTTTAACACCCCGAGTTCCGACATTTGAATGCAAATGAGCGTTAAAAAGAAGGAAATTTTAGTTACAAACACTCGAGCATTTTATAATGAAAGAATTTATAGTTGGTTAAAAACTTAATTGCTATCACTCATGCCTCCCGATTCATTCCGTACCAATTATAATGCATAGATATTGTGAATAAGTTAATGAATACTACACTTGCAGTTTTATTTCGAACTGGAATTTTTTGTATGTTTATTTATATAGTAATATTAAATCGGAGAGTATAACAGTTTATTATGTTACCAACACCGGCTACCCGTTCTATCCACAATAGCAATGTGAATAATGATCTCACCCATCTCTAAAGACGTTGAGATTATAAATCTTTCAATAATCTCCTCCCGGATATTTATTTATTGCGATACTCTATAGAGAATTTAGTTTTTCTGAATAACAATGGACTGATTTATAACACTGCAGCGTCCATGTATCTTTATCAAATATTTAAGGATGAGAATTCTGATGTGAATCTTTATCTAAATATACTTTTATCTATTGTATATTATATTTATAGATAATAAATGTACACAATGTAACGATAGTCTAAGCAAACACTGTCATTATGTAATCTTATGCGTAAGTTATATTAAGATAAACATTAAATACGACAACCGCTTTATATCAATCGTATAAAATTTTTAATTAGACGAAATAGAAGTGTCAGAAGAAACTTTGCCGCCCTTGGATTTTGTGACAGAAGAACCATTGAACGGGATACCACCTATCAACGATACTGGGAACATTTTCATAAGATATCTCACACGTAAGTTTGAAACGATTTTCTTGCAGGTTACACCGGTCGCTGTTTGTTTGATCGCCGACTATTTGATGCCCTGAATTTCGTATTGTGTTTAATTGATTAATGAAAGTAATATTTTTCATAGCTTAAAGTTTCTATTAATTTCACACCAATTAAAGTAACGCTTCTGCTTTCCATAAAATGTATGTTTTATGGCCCATATTATAAACGATGAATTATTTGGTTCCGTTTTATCAAAATGCTCACCATCAACCCAATATTTTATACGTGTTCTGCTTCATCAAATGCTCTAAAATATTTTCAGTAAAACTAGCAATACGTTTCCTATGAACTTTTATAACAACCCATCGATTTCAGTTTGGAGTGTCGAATATCAAATAAAATAAAGAAATGGACTTAAAATTATATGATCCTATATAAAAAACACTTTACTTCTCAGTCAAATTGATTTTATTTATAAAAATCATACTTTGATATTGTCAGATGAGTGAATCTAAAATTATATCAATATGCATCGTTAACACAAAATAGTGATAAATGCGACGATTAGGCGCCAGATGGCGTTTTCCGTTTGAAATATGCAAATGCAGCGTCAATTTAATACCTGCCCATATAATAAATTTCGGGTAAATTTCTATTTGACCCTCACGTAACCCTACGGCCAACACTATTGTCATAAATCTCGAATATCGCTATGGTAATGTTTGATATGTATTGAATCGATTTATCATTTATTATAGCCAATACCAACAGCCCTGTTTAGTGTTGAAAATGATAATCACACATGAATTACTCCAATTTCAGGTGCTATTAATTTGTATCGTGAAAGTTAGAAGGTGGACTTTATTTTCATAATACGTCCTTTTCCTCCCTTTCACATAATGAAAGTTAATGGAAAATATATATGAGGACTTAATTTAAATTTAAGTTTTGATCTTAATACCCTGTTAAAGATTTATATGCCCAACATTAGAATAATCAAATTTTCAAATCAAATATAATCAAACATTGCTAATACAATGAAATAGGCTTCAAATATCATCTGTATTTACTTCAATATAGTTCACCTACTCGTTAAGGCTACATAATTTATTAGACAAACCTTCACGTATGTACGTTCATGAATTACTCAATATTAAATGTGATCAATATAAAATTAAAAAACGTACAAATGATTTGGATTATCTGTAATTTAGAATTAATAATTAACAATATTTTTGTAGTTTTCTCAAAATCATTTTAAATTTATTTATTTACGTTAAGTGTAAAGCAAACATAACAGAGAAGCTTATGTTTATTCATATAAAGTTTTCATAGACCTTTCTCAATTTTATATTTTTAATACATAACAGTAAGACGAAACTTGCTATATGCAATAATCGCCAAGGCAATTACTGACTTATTTGACTTGAAGTAAAAAGTGGTTAGATAATGGTCACAAACTGACCCAGTAACCTACCTTGTAGTAGTTGGATGGAATGTTTGCCTCACAACAGTAATTGTATATTGCATTGTATATCGCATGGCAAACTGTCGTGCTATGTGGTGTGTCATTACCGTTTACAACATGACAACACTTCCGACAGTATCATATTTGTATTTGAACACTACACACAAATAGATTATAAAACACTTGTGAGATAACAGCACTCTAAGAAAAACTGTTCTCCTTCTCAAAGAGTGACGTGATAAACGCGACGTAGCATCCATGAAGCAATTTAATTTCGCACATAGCGACGTCTAGGCATCGCGTAATTTAATCCAGCTTGGTTGGCGCTATGGTGACAAAAAATGGCCGCCTTTTATTTGTATTCGTGCGTTGGCACGTCCTGATGCCCGTTTCAATCCCTCGTACATATAAAACGTGACCATTCACGTCCTCGTCCGTCGTGGAATAAACATAATCTGTCACACAGTTTTCCTTCTTCCCTGACGTAATTTAAAAACCAATATGCGAATACAATAGAGATAGTTAGCGAGATTGGCAAAAAGCAGCTATTCGAACGTCGAGCGGCTGTTATTAAGTCCGCGCTGTTACGTCGCAACAAACAAATGGTCACTGTTCCGAGGTGAGTGACCTGCAATTATGTATGCGATCACTCATTTATGATTGTTCCGTGCCCTGGAATATAAGCGGATCCGTCTTTGATGTCTCTAAATCTAATCTCCGCCGTGGTCGCTCTATGAATATTTTAGCTTTTTGTTTGACGCCGAAAATACATTAGGTCGGTTCGTTTATTAATGTCACAATGATTGCCGGATCGCTACCCGGGGGACAGGCCTCGGATACATATAGAACACTAAAATGGGATTTCGTTCTCTAGTTCAGGAATCAAACGCTATCCTATGTCCTTTCTGTAGTCCCTTTGGGCGTTTTTGTTCTGCTTCGTTTAATGTTGGGTTTTGGAAGAGGAATGGAATATTCACATGGTCTCCCTGACTATAATTCTTTGCGCCTGTTACTAAAAGATAATTCAATATGACTCTCCCTCGGGGTAATGAATATAAGTTTATAATACAGAGAAAGTATTATACGCCGAAATGTTGGTCCGTCGTTGGTAGTTCATTAAAGTTTGATGCATCTCACGGCAGGGAATCCGCTGGCCGAGGATTTTATATTATCTAAATGAATGTGTATGAGACTCCATTATCATCCATAACTTTATTATGGAGGGTTTTGAGATGCTCTTAATTTATTCATAGTCGAAAATTGAATCCAAATGGACTTAGTAATGCGCGGCCATGACCAAAAGTTTAAACTCCACTCAAGGTTTTTGGAACTATGTAACATTTTAAGCTATGAAAAACATTCACTTCTATTAAGGTTAGTTAGATAATAAAAAGAATATAACAAAATTCATTTTGTTTATTACATATCTTTAATTTGACTGTAAAAATTACAAGTACAAGTGTATTAATATTATATTTTTTTGATTTAGATCCTCCCGAGATTACGATTCGGCCACGCAACCTTCAAGTGCGCGCAAACGGAATTGCCGCATTCTACTGCGCCGCCCGAGGTGACCCCGTACCCAACATATTGTGGCGAAAGAACGGAAAAAAAGTATCGAGTAAGTATTGTACGAAAGTATAATTATAAATATACTGATAATAATTGTAGACCGTACTCAAGTCTTAGTCAAGTAAGAATGTTAAAAATTATCACAAATTAAATATAAATATGTTACCGTTCTAATCACAAATCAAGGTGTCACTTCACACGACTTAACATATTGATAGCTTTTATACCCAAACCAGAAAGGCACAGCATGACAAACGTGCTACATAAAAAACACAGACCATTGAATCGGGAATTCTGTTCGTGATTGAAATGTAAAAAACGACTTTTTTAGACCATAAATATGTGAGACCGGTAATGACGTCTATAAGCCCGAAGCAATGAGCTGGAAAAACGTATCGTCGCGGCCACGCACGCGAAAAGCCCTCCCATAAAACCATTCATGCCCCCTAAATAGTTTCATCGCCTGCTATGAAAAATATAATGCTATCAATCATAGAGTGAGGAGAAAATATAAAGGAACGAGGCCCACGATCACAGCTCTCGTTTCGCATCTGCTTTATCAAACTTTATTCTCGATTTGTCTGTCCGTCGTCAGGAACATCTATCAGAATGTATCTCCCATAAGTGTGACGGCCAATCATTGAATACGGATGGGACGAAGATTTATACCGCGCTACACTCGGAATCTATGTATTAATTATTTACTCATATCTTATAATTTATATTTAGTTTGTGTTTCTTAGATGAAATTGAAATTTTATATTAAAATTATCACCTAAAAGATTTTAAACACGTAAAGAGTTTTTTTATTAGTTAAAACATTGAGACGTATTTTGAGAAAGTACTTTAAACGCGACTACATTATCCATTTTTATTAATACCTACATTTTCAGCACAATTAACAGATAATCGTCATAATGTACTTCAAGTTTATTTAACAGTGAACATTTCAATATAAATTACTTAGTCGACTACTCAAGGGTTTTTTCATAACTTAATCCAAACCAAAGTAAATTGACAAAAACTGCTCGAGGCTTATTGGATTTCATCTTGTCATAACTTTGTGGGAGGCTCGTAATAAGTTAATATGTTATTTCATACCAGCTTAATATAAATATAATTGTGACAAATGACTCCTACTAAAAACAAAATAATTATGTGTTTTACACATTCAACAGTCACACGAAAAATTACCCCCTTATTATTAATGATATATTACTAGCTCATTTTCGATATTTATATATTTAAAAAAAAACATTTATAGCTATCAGTGTTAAAAGAACATTTTTGAAATCTGTTCTAATGCTTTAAATGTGAAAGTAAATGATTGTCTACAACTTATAACTGTCTTATTATAAAATAATTCCTTTAATACCAAAAAACAGTATATCCTTAAAGTTTTTCTAGGCAAACATTAAAATTGGATCACGAGGTAAGGTAAATCTATATGCTTCTCTAGTTTTGCTACAAACTAATTATGCAACTCATAATAATTTTAAAGTCTTCATAAACATTTTTTTAATGTTTCAGTCAATGATTTAAAACGTTTACATAGTTATTCGTATTTTAAATACGGTGAACTATACAGATTATGATTTTAGTATAAATAGAAATATAATAGGATCAATTAATACGTTCCATAGAAATGATAGTTTTTCCTTCAATGCACAACGGCAATACTCACTTTACTAATAAAAAAATATTTATATATAAAAAAATGTAATAGGTTCTTTTTATTTCATGCACTATTACTTTAAATGATTTTCCAAAAAAATGTTTGAAACAAATATGTAGCCTAACCGAATAAATACCATCGACAATCATGAATAGAAAATATAGTCAATAATTTTATTTATGCAATCTTTCCTAGATAAAATTCAGGTTTTCACCAAAAATATGAGAATAGTTTTAAATGAATAGGCTTAAGCTCCCGGATAGAGTTACAAATGTATTTAAAAACATTTTCAGATTGTTTTAAAGCATGAAATTTTATTCATATTTTTTTCCTAAACATAATGTTCATTAAATTCAAATTCTCGTATAGGTTTCCCTGAAAATTTCATGTTAATATATTTGAAGATAGGGATTTATTCAATAATTTTATTCCACATTATCTTTATAGAAGATAACAAAAACCTCTATTAATCACCGTAATACTTTAAGCGAAACAGATAATAAATTATTTTGGTACTTCAAGTATTTCAATCAGCGGTTAGCATCGCTCATAAATTATATCTCATGATAAATATTACCGTTATAAGTTATAACCACTGTGATTATAGTTTTTTTTGATTTATTTAACAACAATATTATTTTCAACGTTGAACCCATACTGTAAATTTATCCAAGATCTCTTATGTGTAAGACTAATCGCAAATTGTGAAGTTTTTAAACAATATTGTACCCTAACGGTTATTCTTACTTGTTGTGAAAATACATTTCCGTGGCAGTTACTGTGATTACGACTGGCGATTTAACTCTGTCGCCCTCACCGTCTAGTATCCGATTTCAGCAAACTTTACAACAGACGAAACATAGAGATTTAAACTCTATTCTAACGCCTTATAATATATAAAGGCGGCATCACGATGTTATGGTTTTGTATCTACATATTTTTTGCCGTCTCCAGTTGCAAATGCAAACGTCGCCGTGTAATGAATCGCGGACATTTCATCTGACGTTATAAGATTTTCAATAAACATTAGATGTAAATTATAGTCTCGGAGTTTAGTTTTGCATTTTATTTATGTTCTATATTGTAAAAGATAGCTCTACTGCTTTGATTGTATTCAATTCTTTAAAAGCAAACCTTTGGTTACACTCTAATACACTTAAGTTCAAAGTACATATATTGAGTCGACTCTTTCTATCCAATTTCTAATGTTTGTATGTCGATTATTTTATTTAACTGTTGTTTTATTTCATTCAAAATTCATAATATGTCTACCTAGTCTTGTCTACAACAAATTATTCGACTTTATATGTATATATATAGAAAAGTATCAATATCAATTTATATTATATCATTATCACCAGTTAATATCAAAACTAACCTACATGTAGCTATAGTTAGGTTAACATATAAATTATAATGTTTAACAAGTTGCCTATCTACTGAAAACTTGTAAACTTGTCTGAACTCGAAATATTACTCTCATCTTTAAGTAAACCACACTGTTATATATAACATTTACCATTAATTACGGCAACATCATAATAAGTAAAACTATACATATAAAATGAAATGTTTTGTAAAAATATTTTCATAGCAATTTTTAATGGTTTAAAGGCAAACCAATAAGAAATATAGGTTCGGTTTTGAGGTATATACATATATTTTGCATATTTTTATTTCTCCAGGCATGCAATCCCGTTACTTGGTGTCTGGGATGGAGACAGCAGCCGGTCCTAATGCTAACGGTGCTGTACTACGTATTGAACCAGTGAGGGCTCAACGAGATGATGCTACATACGAGTGTGTCGCGGAGAATGGAGTAGGGGATGCTGTGACCGCTGTGGCGACACTCACCGTCTTTGAAGGTACGTAATATCGTTGGAAATCAAAAGATTATTATCATATGTATTGTGTATTGAATAAATTGCTTCTACCTATGAGAGCGCCTCGAAAATTTTTTGCAACTAACATGAAATGTCATCGTAAATTAACAAAAAATAAAAATTTGTTCAAATATATTGCATAAAAAGTTACGGAATTGCATAACAAAAACTTATTATAACTTTTACGAATAAAAAAATATATATACAAATTCAAAAAAATAAAAATTCTACTTTAAAACTTTTATTCCACTCCTGAAACGCTCGAATGTTTCGAAATGTAAGTTTACGCTGTAGTTTATAAATAGTGTAAGAATACTAATGAATTTGTTTATGTATTTTTTACATTAATATAGCAGGAAGTTGTATGAAAATATGGTGTTACAAACAAGTCAGGTCTATTATCAAAGGCTTCGTAATGTGAATATCCTTGTTAATTCCTAATTCGTCATACAGATGTCGTTAGCTTTGATTCATCTCGAATTTGATTGCATGTTCTCTATCAAAATCTTGTCTCTTAAAATTATACGTCGCATCAATTACACTCCCAGCTTTACTGTAGGTTGGGAGCGCAAATTTTAAATAAAAACACGCTAATTGTTCTGTTACAAAAGAATTTAATTGGAGACTACTAACTATAAGACTGGTTTCATATTTGCTTCTAATTCTCCATGAATAAAATTATATTTTACTACGGTCCTTTCAAATAAACCACATGATTCTGAATTGGACAAAAGGTGTAAGACCTCCAGGTCACCGGTAACTATTGGCCACATAAAACATGCCAGCGGTGACACTATGATCCCCGCAGTTACTGAACACAGGGCCTTTCTATAAATAAGCATTAAAACCAATCTCCACGACGTTGCGATAAACGACTCCTGGCTCGAGCCTGCTAGAAATGACCGAGGTATTTATCGGTTCATTTCGCTACTTTAATTGGAACATAGTAATTGTCTTCTAATTATTGTAATGATTCCATCTTCCACTCACACTTGCTTTTATACACCGATACTCATACTATCTTTTGTAACATTTCTTTACGATATTTTAAAACTAAAATGTTTAGAACATTATAGTAGATTAAATTGGAGATCTAATAAAAAAGCTGTATCTTAACATTAATACTGTTAAGTGTGGTTCAAATGAGCTATTACAGCTAGATGGTTATGAGTCGTACGGTAATTGAATAAATCGCGATAATTATGTCATAACTCAACTGTTGGCGACACACTCCTGCATACATTTGCCTCGAATTACAACTGCGGTTTGTCCGGGGCCGCAAGAAATTTAAGGTTAATTGCCTTGTTTCTTGTTTATGTTTTTGTTAGAGCCGAGGCTTTTGTTGGATTTATTTAGAACCATATTTAAATTAATGATACATTTGAATATTCAATAATTAAATTAAACGGAATACTAGTTACGTTTCTTTTTATATAGTACCAATATTTCATAATATCTTACTGAAAATTCAGATAACCAAACCCGATGGTGACTTGTTGTCTGCCAATGAGATGTCTAACAGAGTTAGCGCGAACTTTTGACTTTGAAATATCCATAACGTCTAGTTTATTGTATATAAAGTGAACTGAAATATTTAAATACATTAACGATACCGATTCACGTAAATATGTAGTTTAAAAAAGATAATATACTAGATAAGGTTTAAATTGTCAGCGGTAGTGTCTCAAATGACCATCAATAAGAAAGTGTAATTCTTCTATATTGAATAAAGTTATTTGAGGTTTGAGTGGTGGCCTATTGGTTAAAAGGCCTTCCTCTGTACCAAGTGATTTTTCCGAGTCATATTTACTTTCTAAGAGTATTTAGACATCACTGATTAATGCATTCCCAAAGAGGTTTGATGTCAGGCAGACGGCCGTTCGTAAAAACAATTAGCCAAAACTATTCACAACATGTAAGGCAGACCCTGGCTAAAGCTGGGAAATTGCCAGGTATAAGAAGAATATACTAGATAAGGTACCTATTTGGCTTTTGATATTGTTCCAATATTAATAATATTATTTTCAATATATGTAGTTGTAGAGGCGTTAACAATGTTGTGTACACTCGTGGTTTTATTATAATATTGAAGTGCTATGAAGTGCCATCAAGTACGTTGTAGTGGTCGTGCGAGTTTCGCTCACCGATAGCCAGCTATAAACAAGTTAGTTAACTCAAATACAATGTTAGCGGAAATAAAAATCAATACCTGGCAATCCAGTATCAACCCGGCGATACAGGCAATAATATTCTTAACTACACAACCCTCAGCGAACTAAAGGGCAAGTTTTGATAAGTTTTACAAGTTGAATTGGCGTGGTCATATACCGGAGGATACTTTGACTTGTATTAAGAAAACTCAACCTTTCCTTTACCGTTCATTTATTCAAATTTATATTATATACATAGAATATCTGTCTAACGTTTTATTATGATTGAAAGGAATTACTCATATAATATGTAACTTCTATCACTAATAGCGTTATTGACTTTACACTCTCATTAATTGACTAACTTAATATATCATTGAATAGAGGAAATAATACATTTTTGAATACCTACCATCAAGAAAATATATTTTCTCCCTCGTGCATGGTCTGTTTATATTTAAAGAAAATATCATATCTTTTAAAACAATATTTTTTAACATCTAACAGTTGAGAAGATATTCTTGTTGTTCGATTTCTATATCAATAGCTTTCCAAGAAACAAACTTGGAGTATGTAGACCATCCGAAGTGAAACTACGAGTTTATAAACACACAATAAGCAAATTGTAAAAGAAATTCAATAAAGCACACACAATCCATCTAAAAGTTTATAAAGATGAAAGACTTAGTACGTGAATACCAGTTAATATTCTAAAGATAAAGTTTCCCAGTCCCTCTTTTTCCTTGTACATAATGAATTAAAAACTATATCTCAACTCTACAAACTTTTAATGCACGACCGGCTCGCCCGACTCACATATTTTCGCTGGAGTTTGATCAAGCTGGTTTTACAATATATAAAATTATATACGCATTTGACTACGCTGGTGTGAAATATAATACCATAATCATGAATACGTATCTTTGAATATCACTTTTTGAATCATTTTTATAACCAAAGTAAATGAGTACATTGATTCTTTGTATTTCAATATTTTTAAGTAATTTAAGTAAATGTAAAGAGAGCAAAATACATTTGAAATTTCACATTATGTTTGCTGTTTTGCAATAACATTTGTATATTTGCTCCATGATTGAATTATACTTTAATGTAACTAGAACTAGTGTTCGTAATGTTTACTTATTTTAAAGCATTTTTAAAGGTTTTTTTTAAGAAAAGAAAATAATATATATTTTGCTCAGTCCCGCTAACTTTAATTGAAATAGTGTTGTTACAGATTTCCACTAAATTAAGGTTACGGTACGATTAAAGGCTAGCCTGAATTATATTAACCAATGTATGTAAATATGTAATACTACATAGAAACATACTACATAGCATATAGCTATTGTTTATTCTTCGCCGTAGTTCATGAATATCAGGTATCTCATGAATATTTCCTTTTAGTTTCAAAGTATTATTAATATTAAACTATAAATGTATTCATGATAAATATGAATATAAATCAAACGAAATCACAATAATTATCCGAAACTACACCCCATGATCCTTCCATAAATTCCAATAACTGCATATTGAAGTCACGAGCGGTGTTACAGAGCTAGAGACGGCCACCTGGTTTTAATCTGAATATAAATTATACATAATTAAAGAGACTCGGACACCGGCGGAATAAATGTGACCACTTCAAACAAAGCTGACTGTAATGGAACAAGTGACGAACGACTGGACATAATTCCGATTGATAATTTTATCTATTATAGATTCATTACTACATATATTAAAGATTAAAAAAATCAAGTTTAGAGGTAACTTAAAGAGTATAAATTAATTACCATTACGCATCTTTGTATTTTGGCTAACTATGTATACATATTATGTACTTGGTTGTTGGTTATAAAATAATTATAACAATTTATAAATATATTGCTTAATGTAGATAGATACTTTTATCTCGTCTTCTGGTGGTCACAGTTGCTAAAAAATAATGGTAACATAAGATGGATAATTGAAATATAAAAATAAATGCACGCAGCATATAACAAAGTCCGCCTTATTTAGCCGTAATGTTTGTAACATAAAATTGAAACATTGTAAATATTACTCATATATACACGTCTTTAAATATGTAGATTTGTTATAAGTTGTAATTCTCTTATTACTCAAAACGCTATCTCTCTCAAATTGCACCAATCATTTCTAAGCAGGCCCTTGTAACGCGAGCTCAAACGGCACCATATTTTTTCGGGAAGCTTTTGCAAGTAATGGTACTAAATTTGGCGTTGTAAGCCGTCGGGAGCTATGAGATAGTGTTACAATCTGAGCTCCAATTTAATGGAATAATTTCACTTGTAATAATCGAGACCATTTTTCCTCACAAAATTGGGTAGACGAATTATATTTGTACTCGTTCATAACTATCTACAGACGAACAGTTTTAAAGAAAAGGAAATAGTTCATTCTTTGTAAACGTAAACTGCGCTCAAAGTTGTAAATTAATAAAAAACAAAGGTACTGTGTTAAACGAAATACTTGTTATACATAGACGCGTCAAAAAAACATGCTGGCAAATATTTAGAAACGCTCGCGTCTAGCAAAACGCTGAAGCGATTTCCATATAAAAGATCAAGTCAACAATACTGTAACACTTGAAGCTCAAAGCCTTTTGTAGCTAAGTGTACCTACAAGTTATCGATCCAGCTAGCGAAACTTTTAAAGTTGCATCTCTTAACATATTTTGCGACGAAGTCGATGCAAAATGTTAAAATTTAGTTTTAAAACCGAATTATAATAGTGAACTTTTATCTTTTGGAAGGATTTTATTCATTTTTTTTTTTTACTTTTTGTTGTATTCGACCGACATCGCAGTAA